TTTTTTTCACAGATGTCAGCCAAGACAATAAAATCAGTGTTATTTTTAATTCAATTTTACCATGTAAATATCCATTAAGTAAAGAAATCTCCCTATACAGGTAGTCCTCAATCTACGACCATAATTGAGCTCAAAGTTTCTATTGCTAAGTGAGACATTTGTTAAGTGAGTTTTGCCCCATTTTACAACCTTTTTTGGTACAGTTATGTGAATCAGTACAGTTAAATCAGTAACCTGGTTGTTAAGTCAATCTGACTTTCCTGCTGACTTTGCTTGGCAGAAGGTTGCAAAAGATGAGACCAGGACACTGCAACCACCATAAATATGAGGCAGTTGACAAAGATCCAAATTTTGATCATGTGACCATGGGGATGCTGCAATGAAGTATGAAGAACAGCTGTAATTCATTTTTTTCAGTGCTGATGTAGCTTTAGTTATTAAGTGAACTGTTGTAAGTTGAGGACTACTTGTATTCAACTTCAATGGATGACTCTATATGGGAAAAGGATAAAAACTTCCCTCTATCCATACTATGAATAACTTTATATGCTTTATACTTCCCCCTTACTATCCAATAGTCTGCAGTGATATTAGCAAGTTATGAATAAATTACCAACTGATGTAGGATAACAATTGGGGCACATAAAGAAACAAACAAAGTGGAGAGAGGAGGGAGAGGAGGAAGGAAGGAAGGGAGAGGGAGAGAGAGACAGAGAGAGAAACAGAGAGAGAAACAGAGAGACAAAAAAGGAAAGAGGAGAGAAAGGGGAGAGGAGGGAGAGAGGATAAGAAAAAGAGGATGAAAAAAGAAAGAGACAGAAAAAGAGGAAAGGAAGAAAGAAGGAAGGAAGGAAAGAGAAAGAGAAAGAAAAAAGGAAGAAAGAAAAGAGGAGAGAAGAGAAGGAATAGAGGCCAAAAAAGCAAAGAAGGAAAAGTAGGGAAAAAAACTTTCACTGGAAAACACTATTTTTCCATCAGCGGAAAAATTTCCTAAACAAGGTTAATTTTCCGGATTTTGACTTTCTGGTCCAGGCGGACCAAGAAGCCTCTATTTTCTTTTTTCCTTTCAAGCAATAAAATCAAATAAAATCTGTGGAGCACCAGTTCGACTCCCCCTTCCTGCGAAAAAAACCTCGAGCCCCAATGCTCCGAACGGATTCAGACAACATATGCACACTTGGAGTGGGTTTCCACTTGCTTTCGTGGTGAGTACCTCCCACACACCTGCATCTCGGAAGCGGAGCCAACTGTGTGGAGCCCAGCCAGCTTAGCTGACAAACCACAATGGAAGCATGCTCTGCACGTCCTGCGGAGAATTGGCTGCTGCTGCTGCTGTTGCCGCTTCCCCCCTCAGTAACTTTGATCCAGGAGGGAACGGCCTCCCTGTCAATCAGCCACACAAAGGCGGAGGGAGCCCAATCGTAACCCTAGGCGGCCATATTTCTGTTGGCCAAAGGCCCGCCCTCCTCTGGGTGTGTCCAGGTGCTATAATATCCCGGCCCAGCTGATGTTATTAACTTTCTACGTTTTCTCTTAAGTGTATCTTAAACTGTTTTTGTTAAAGATTTATACCTTGTATTGGTTCTGGGAAGTCAGGGTGGGGGAAGGTTGGGG